CCACATTGCTGCAGCTGCCGATTCCTTCTTGGTATCAGAACCAGAATTTCCAGACTTCCTTCATGGACCAAGGACCAACTGCTTTCTAGGAACCATTGAAGTTTTGGTACCAGATTGGGACTACTGAGGCATCTGTAGTGGTTGAAGGAAAATGGCCCCCATAGGCTCAAAGCGGGCGGCACTATTAGGAGATGTGGCCTTGTTGGAGGAAGTGTGTCACTGAGGGAGGGCTTTGGGGCTTCAGAAGCTCAAGGCAGGTCTAGTGGCTCACTCTTTCTTCCTCAGGTCGAGATGTAGAACTGTCAGCTGCCTCTGCATCACTACATCTGCCCCTGTGCTACCTTGCTTGCCCCCATGATGGTAATGGATTAAACCTCTGTAAGCCCGCCCCAGTTAAATGCTTTCCTTTGTCAGAGTTGTCATGGTCATGGTGTCTCTTCACAGCCATAGAAACCCTAAGATAGCACCCACCCTCAGCTACAGGGTCTCAGTCCCTCAGGTGAGAGACAGCTATAGTTACTATCTTAAAGTAAGCAGAACTAATAAATTATGTATGTGTGTATATGTATACATTCTATAGGTTCTGTTCCTCTAGAGGACCCTGACTAATGTTGAGTAGTATTCAAAGGGAAAAAGAAACCATAAAGTATAAGAACTCTTGCAATTTACAGGTCTCCAGGATCCACCCTATCTGGTATAATTAACATTCAAAATTTGTGCAGTGCCAAGAACTTACTTTTGAAGAATTCAGGAGACAGTCTCATAGCATATATGCCAATGTTCTAATAACCTTTTACTTACTGGGTTTTAATTATGTATCTTCTTTTCTGACCTATCTTAGGAAATTCAATTTTCCAACTGAAGCTCAGGCACGATAGCTGACCCAGTTAAGGCATTTAAGGGAAGGGAGAGAGGCCTTCTTCTTCCTTGGTCAGCATTTAAAGGACCTCCCTCACCTGGGGTGACCCTGATAACCTTCAGTTAGGGCCACCAAGAACAAGTGACAGGGGCACAGGGTGGCTGATTATCCTACCCTAAAGCTCAGCTGGGTGAAGTGGCCACAGGCTTTCCTTACCCAAGCTGTCTCCACAACACTCCACCAAGCAAGCAAGCTTTGATCTGCTATCCTGTCTACACTGCATCTGGAGCCTTCAGAGACCAGGCCTGACTGAGGAGGAGAAAGACCCTGGGTAGAGGCTAGAGTATCCAAACTCTCACCTTCCCACCTGATGTGGCTCAGCATCTGGACAGCAGGCAGTGGCCTCATGGGAAGGAGACTGATGTGGGAAGCTAATTGGATTGAATCAAGTCAAAGGATAGAAGTTTTCCAGCTTCCCGCATGCTGACTGTATTGTGGGCAGGAAGTTGATTCATTCCTTTTTCTTCCCCATCTCTACAATGGTTACTACATGCATTGCATAGAAGCTGTAGCATTCAGATAGGGACTACTCACAAGTGCACTTTAAGAGAGAGAAGGCCACTCACAGTGGTTGGCTTAGGAACTGGGGGTAGTGGAACCTGATGGGGGGGTAGGATATTGGATATGCTGGATGGCTTAACAGATAGCACAATTTTCCTCTGATTAAATAGTAGCCACATAGTCATCAAGTGGTTCCACTTTGCTCATTTCAAGGCAGTGGCCTACCTACGCTTGAAAACAAGATGTATGCAATGTGAGAGCATGTGTGGAGGAAGGGTCATATTAGATGATGATTCCATGTGACTCTGATGATGGAAGGGCCATATTGGATGGTGATTCCGTGTTGATGCTGATGATGCTGATGAGTTTCTGAATTATAAGTAATAATAAATGATCAGGGACTAGTTTGCCAAGGTGAATGACTGGGGAAGGGTTTACGCAAGCACAGACCACAAGGTTAGAGTGACTGAGGTTTCAGGATCAAGGAAGACTGCTGATTGCAGGGCCTCCAATGCTGCAACCAAAGACGGCAGGCCTTTCAGCACTGGTGTTTTCTTTGTGGGGCTTGCAGACTGAGTCTGACCACGGGGAACAGAGTAATGGTGGGAACTGCGTGCCCTTAGTCACTTGTCACCGAGTAAGCTAAAATGCAGAGGAGTGGCATATCCTCTTTCTACACCTTTGGCCTGATGTCATGAAAAAGTAAATATATTAAAAGCAACAACAAAACCACACATACCAAATAACAACCCCCACATTCAGTATTCAGACTTTTTTGTCTTTTGAACATGTGAAAGTATGAACTTATACCACTCATAGTTTTATGCTGTTGACAATATTTAATAATCTTGGAATGACTTTTATTAAAATATTTAATATATTTACAGTATACCTACTCTGATATGTATATACATAATGAACTTTTGTTACAGTATGCTATTAGTATATCTGACTGTATTGCATTTATTTACTTACTTACTTATGTATGTGGAGGCCAAAGGATAACCTGAGGTATTCGGTTCTCTTCTTCCACCCTGTGGGTTCTGGGGATTGCATCAGGTTGTTATGGTTTGTTGACAAGTACCTTTACCCACTGAGCTGTCTTCCAGCCCAGTGTGTCTACATTGTCAGTAGCGTGTGTGTGTGTGTGTGTGTGTGTGTGTGTGTGTGTGTGTGTGTGTGTGTGTGTTTGGTGAGAACACTTTGACATAATGTCTGCATATTTTTAATGTGAAAAATTTAACTACAGTCCCAGTGCTGTCCTTCAGATCTCTAGAACTCACTCGTTCTGTGAAACTGTAGCCTCTGGTGTTTTGTTTTGTTTTAAAAGTATGTGGTTGTGGTGAACATGGACACATGAGTTCAGGAGGCTGCAGAGAGATGGCTCAGCAGTCAAGAGGACCCAGGTTCAGTTTCCAGCACCCCTCTGATGGCTCACAACCATCTGCAGTGCCAGCTCCAGGGGATCCAATGCCTACAAGGAACTGTCCCCAGCGACCCACTTCCTCCAACTAGGCCCTACCTCCTACCCTTTGCCACTCCCAGTGAGGCCGTGATCAGCCTGGAGTTGGGGTTATAGGGGTTGTGGATCACGTGCTATGGGTGCTGGGAACTGAACCTGGGTGCTCTGTAAGAGCAGCGTGTATTCTTAGCCACTGGGCCATCTCTCCAGCTCTGTTTCTGAGTTTCTTAATGGCAGCTTGTCTTTCATATTTTTTTAACTAGGCAAAGAATTTTATTAACCCCCTTCCAAATTTTATTTCCAGGCTTTTTCAGCTTAGTTTGCTGCAAATGATTATCTGTGTATAAGCAAAAACTGAAAATAGCTGCAGTATCCAGGGAGGCTTGGGTTTAAAAACATTAGAGCTCTAGATTTTATCCGATCCATAAACAAAAAATTTTTAGAAAGCACTCATGATATAAAACAGCAGCTCCTGTGACTTCTGCAAGGGTCACCTTCTTCAGAAGTTGTCTCAATTCAGTTTGCCTGGTGCTTAGGAGCCTCATGAAAATTCTCCACCAGATCTGGGACTTCATCGTTACCATCCTCCAGCAGCAAATGGTGCTTCCCATCCTGCCTAGCAGAGATCCGCCAGTCTGCTTCCTCTAGCCAGACGGTCTGCCCCAAGCTGGTGCAGGGTGCAGGAAACATATCTGTCAGCTGCTTTGTCTCAGCGTGCGAGGCCTGTGACGGTGAGGGTGTGAGCTGTGGAGGTGAGGTATGAGCTGTGGAGGTGAGGTGTGAGCTGTGGAGGTGAGGTGTGAGCTGTGGAGGTGAGGTGTGAGCTGTGGAGGTGAGGTGTGAACTGTAGAGGTGTGAGCTGTGGAGGTGAGGTGTGAGCTGTAGAGGTGTGAGCTGTGGAGGTGAGGTGTGAGCTGTGGAGGTGTGAGCTGTGGAGGTGTGAGCTGTGGAGGTGAGGTGTGAGCTGTAGAGGTGTGAGCTGTGGAGGTGAGGTGTGAGCTGTAGAGGTGTGAGCTGTGGAGGTGAGGTGTGAGCTGTGGAGGTGTGAGCTGTGGAGGTGAGGTGTGAGCTGTGGAGGTGTGAGCTGTGGAGGTGAGGTGTGAGCTGTTGAGGTGTGAGCTGTGGAGCTGTGAGGTGTGAGCTGTGGAGGTGAGGTGTGAGCTTTGATGGTGAAAATGTTTGCTGCCATTGAAGCGTCAGCGTTAGGGCTGTGAACGGCTCTCTAAGGAGAACTGAAGTTTCATCGTCTGCTGGGCTGTTCTGTGAACCACCTTCTGCAAGTCGCTCCTTTCCCACCAAAGTGCACCTGTGCCTGCAGTTTGGCGAGTTTTTCCCGCTTCATGATTGTTTCCTTCATCTTGTCGGAGTGGAAATGGGGCCACTTGGGGAACTAGGGTTCAGACTCGGGGTCCTCGGGCAGACCAGCTGACACTGCACACATGGACTAGGGTTCAGACTCGGGGTCCTCGGGCAGACCAGCTGACACTGCACACATGGACTAGGGTTCAGACTCGGGGTCCTCGGGCAGACCAGCTGACACTGCACACATGGACTAGGGTTCAGACTCGGGGTCCTCAGGCAGACCAGCTGACACTGCACACATGGACTAGGGTTCAGATTCGGGGTCCTCAGACCAGCTGACACTGCACACATGGACTAGGGTTCAGACTCGGGGTCCTCGGGCAGACCAGCTGACACTGCACACATGGACTAGGGTTCAGACTCGGGGTCCTCAGACCAGCTGACACTGCACACACATTGACTAGGGTTCAGACTCGGGGTCCTCGGGCAGACCAGCTGACACTGCACACATGGACTAGGGTTCAGACTCGGGGTCCTCGGGCAGACCAGCTGACACTGCACACATGGACTAGGGTTCAGACTCGGGGTTCTCAGACCAGCTGACACTGCACACACATTGACTAGGGTTCAGACTCGGGGTCCTCGGGCAGACCAGCTGACACTGCACACATGGACTAGGGTTCAGACTTGGGGTCCTCAGGCAGACCAGCTGACACTGCATACATGGAGATGCCAGATGGCCGTCCATGTCGTTCACATTCTTATATCCTTATTCTAGGAACTGGTCCAGAAGCGGAAGCAAAGGAGGACAGTCTGTTTATACACAGTTTGCTTTAATAGCCATCAGAAAGACTGTGTAGCATCCTTCCACCCACCTGTCTGCACAGTATGGCCTTTAACACAGGGCCATGGCAACATATATATCTGTATTATACATTTATACACACACCCACATCCTAGGAGCACTGCGAAGACACACGTCTTCAGCACAGAACAGGCCTCGCCCATGCGATTAAAAGAGGTACAGGTATGCTAGACATTCAACAGGCATGATGTGGCCACCAGCCCCCTGCTCCCCTGAGGGAAGTTAGAATTATGGGGGACAGCACATTTAAGGGAGCCAGTTCAACTTGAGATCCGATAAGAGACAGAAGGTGCTAGGCTAAGCGTGTGGCACCCAGAAGTCACCATGTTTGCTGTGTACACTCAAAGAACTCTGGTGCGGTGGTGTAGACCAAATTACTACCTGGCTTGGCCCATAGGGCTGGCCTGGGTCAAGAGTGGGTTTGTGAGGGGAGCTTTCTGAACCCCAGCACTGTCCAGCGGGGCACTGTCTCTCAGTAGTGTGTTTTTACAACTGTCCGAGCAGCTTTGGTGTTGGGACCACACATCCTGTCTGTGGGCAGCGAGGTCCCAGTTCCCCTGAGTTGGCCATCTTGAGGACAGATGCTGAGGCAAGAACTGTGACGTCATGCCCCTGAGGCTGTTTAGAAGCAGGGCCACACGGCCTTCTACGCAGTGCAGTCTACATCAGCTCTGCTTAGTGCCGGCCCGAGGGCTTGGCTGATCCTATTCACTGCCGCCAGGATGCCACTCTCCGTGCTGTCTGTCCCCTGGGGACACATCTCTGAGCCTTTTCCTGGACCTGCAGCAGGGGCAGGGTGGAACCAGGTATTCCTTAGCAGACAGGCAGCCGCACAAGAGAGGGGCAGGCCCACCCTTCCTGCTGTACTAAGGGCTGCTGGCTTCGTTTCTTGTGGGGCTCCTGGAAGGCAAGGGTCACAAGGCTGAGGTGCGTGGCCGGGCCCTTAAGGACTTCACCTGCAGACAAGAGGGAAAGAAACCTAGTCAGCGTGAGTGGTTAGACCCTGCTGGAGGCTGGAGCGAGAGGCAAATGTGCTGGAAGCCAGGAGCCTGAGAGCTGGTTAGGAGGGAAGCACAGGGGCGGGGGGTGCTGGCCTGGAGAAGCTCCCGAAGCCCGGATTAGACGGAAGCCCTTCACATTCTTACAGCTTACCCCACTGGACACTCTCCCTTCACGAGTCAGTTCATGCTGCAAATCAAGTGGTCTGAACCAAACGAGCGATCAGAAAACAACAGGGCCCTTTATATCTCTCAAGAAAAGAAGTTCTGACAAGAGACGAACACGCACAGAAAGCCCTTTGTAGAAGGGGGACATTCAGTGGGAAATCCCCCGGTACGTGCATGTCTCAGTTATCAGAGAGGGGTGTAGTTACCAGGGCCTAGGAGATAGTGTAAGGCAGCTTCTACCATTTACAGACTTGGGGCAGCAGGCTCGGAGATGAAGGGGCCAGCCAAAGCCGCACAGCCAGTTAGTGACAGGCCCTCCCTGGGGGCCTAGGAACTAGAGAGGCAAGCGTCCACAGGCTGGGCCAGCGGTGCCCGAGGCCGCTGGGTTACCTTTGCTGGGACAGGAATATGGCTGCACAGAGGAAATCTTGTAAGAGCCGTGCTACAGGGGCTCCGGAAAGAAAGGGGTCATCAGAGAAGAACAGGAATTAGACCAAGACAGAAGAGAGCGACACCAGAGCCCACCCCCTTCCACACTGGCCTCTGCACGTGTAACGAGGCAGAAGCAATGATGGGCTGTCTGGGCGGCCCTGGTGGTGTCAAGTCTACGTTGAAGGAACAGTTTCTGATCTTAATCCACATCATATGCCCCGAGTTCTCCCTCACACCAGCACTTAGCACTTGAGGTAGCTGTGGAGAACGCCTGCCAGGGATAGAAAGTCTTCCCCTTAGGGGCAGGGTTTATTTTCATGCTGTCTTCTAGATCAATGAGACCAAAAGATCGTCTGCGATCTCTAAAGACAAGGATACTCCCAACTCGCAGCAATGGCAGCGGGGTCAATTTGTAAGGTCCTGTCCGCTTCGCTTTACTTTCCATAGAGTTCTTTAGGAAACTCCAGTGTGCACAAATGGCCTCATAGTCAGACTCCAAATATCTCTGCCCTCAAGAGCCAGCTGTGCTGTGTTCCCTCCTCACCCCACCACACACACGCACACACACACACACACGCACACACACACGCACGCACATACACACGCTCACACACGTGCACGCACATGCATGCACACACACGCACGCGCACACACACGCATGCGCACACACATGCACATGCACATGCACACACGCTCGCACACACACACGCGCACACCCACACTCACACACGTGCACACACGCACATGCACGCACGCACACACACACACACACGCACGCACGCACGCACCTACAGTGAAATCTGCAGTGAGAGGGAGAGATGAAAATGCAATGAGGGCAAGCAGAGGGGCCGGGGAGTGAGGTAGGGTGAGTTTTGCTGAAGAACCATGTCCTACACTGGACCAGAAACTGTTTAGGATGTTAGAGCTAGCCAGGGGCCTCCCACACAGCAGACAGGGTGACGGGTAGTGGAGGGTCCAGGGCAGGCTCTGTGGCTGAGAGCAGCTGTGTTGCCCTTACCTCTAAATTAGTCCGTGCTTTCTTCAAGACATCATGGGTCCTGGTCACTGGAAACACAAAACAGCCCCACAATGTGGGAATTACCAGCTGAATCTGGCTTGCTTGGCATATGCACCCTGAGACACTCCCTCTGCCACTCGGTGTGTGGTCTGTTGTTAGCCACACCCCCTCCCTCTGCACCCACCATTACTCAGTGTCTTCCCTCAACATTCCCGAGTCCCTCTGGTCACTACTCGTCTCTGCAAGATTGGGTGTCTGGAAGAGCGCTCCCACGTGCCCTTCCGGGACACCTACGGTGGTTCACGATGTACTGTTCCATGTACTTCTTCTTCTGCTTGGCTGTCTTCAGACGTTCGTTAGTTTTCTGAAGGAGCTGTTCCTGCTGGGACACTTGGGCTCGCAGGTCCAGGAGTTCTTTCTCTATCAACTGTCCCTGAGGAAGAGGGATAGACTCAGACGACACTCACAAGGCCGAACCCACCCTGCGCTTTGCAGCTCTTAACAGTCAAGCAGAATGATACCATCTTCTCTACATTTTGTATTGTATTCTTTCCTTTAGAACCTCTCAAATCTTAGCTGGGCAGTGGTGGCATGAACCTTTAATCCCAGCATTCGAGATGTAGAGGCAGGGGGATCTCTGAGTTTAAGGCCAGCCTGGTCTACAGAACTAGTTCCAGGACAGACAGAAATATGCAGAGAAACCCTTTCTCAAAAAACAAACAACCGTCAAATTCCAGTTGGAGATAGCTGAGGACCAGGCCATGCAGAAAACAAAGCCGGCTGGGGAGAGCCTTGCTCTAGGTCAGCACCAAATGCCAACCACAAGCAAGTGCTCTGTTCGGTCCTGCAGAATTCCCTTAACTCCTTATCTCTTGTGAACTCCTTAGGAGTTCAGGGATGTTATATCTGAAGAGGACAGTGGGAAAGTTTGCAAATATCTGCCACTGCGGAGATGTGAAAACATCTTGAATTAGCGTAACTAGATGTCCACAGACATCAGTAACAGTTGCAGCTGGAACACCTCTGTCTAAGAGTCTGCCAACCACACGCAGCTGGAGAGACAAGCAGACTCCAGGAGGAGGCTGGCTTTCCCAGGCCTGACCCAGAGACACAAACAGAGCATGGCTAAAAGAGGCTCTCATGTTCATGGTGACATTCTGTGATCTTTTGATCAGGTGAGCCTTAGTGTCAATCGGTTCCTTGATCAGCTCAGCCAAACTTCAGGATACAAGACTGGAAATATCTGGGTGTCCAGGCTGATTGTCTACTTCCCATATTCTTTCCTTCTCTCGGATGTCTCATCAAGAGTTGGAAGGCAGGAAAAGAATGTGTTAGAACTGCAATGAGGCAGCCACGATGGCTCAGAGGTCTCCCTCCAGAATGTTCCATGAAGAGCCAGCCCATCCCAACTACCATATAACCCCTGAGCATCAAGAAAGCTGAAGGAGTTGGCAGCAGGGCCATATTGGCATGGAAAAGGCAGGCTTTAACCAGCCGAAGACCCAGCCTCTTACCGCTTTGCCTACCAGTCCTGGCCCATGCTGGCTTGGCAAGGCTGCTCTCCAGAACATGGTGAGGAGAGATGCTGACTCTTCCAGGGTGTGGCTCAGAGCACTGGCGCTGCTCCGCAGCTCACGGACACTTTTGTTACCTGGCACCTGGGGAAAGAGGACAGGTAGCCATGGATATCACTGGGGCATCCCATTTCTCCAATCACTGAGCTCAAGCTTCCTATGTGAACAAGCACAGGACACAGACCTGCTGGAAACCTTGGCTGTTCCTTACAGTTCCAGGAAAGCTGGTCCCTTTGCCTGGAACCCTTCTCCCAGGATGTCCTACAAGCGTTCAAACCTCATTCTCCTATTACATCCTCCAGGAAACTGTACCTTCCTCGTCTGTGATGCACTTATGGAGGGCAGCTCCTCACGTGTGTCTGTGGCGCCTTGTCGTGCATATCAACAAGTGACTCTATCTTGCTCTTCAGTAGTGGGTTCTGGTAGACCAAGGCTGTACTATGCAAGCACCAGTGAGTGACCAGTTTCTCAAACAACACTGTCACTTGTGCCTGCTCCCTCTTGACTACGAGGCACACCGAAGAGCTTCTCTGGCTGCCTCCCCTCCTCTGCAGTCTGTAGGGAACCCTGCACTATCAACTTTACTACCCTTCCACGTGTGCAAGCTCATGTGGATGCCAGTCTGCCAGGCTGACTTTAATTGTTTAGACAGGGGTTCATGCCAGCATTCCTATTACAGATGAGCTACCAAAGACGCTAAACGTAGTGACATGGTACATCAACATTTTACGAGTGTGCTGCTATAAAACACGGGGTTTTCCAGGGTTCTCAGTCCAAGTATGGAGTCAGCATGATCTGTAGCAGAGTGAAGATGGGAGACAGAAAAGGCTGGGAGATGTAACTCAGAGAAGTAAGGACTATGCAAAGAAGGTAAAGTCAGAGGAAGAGAGTCCCCAAGAGCGTTGTGTTCTTACCTCTGTGCCCGGAGCTTCAGGTCCAGGGGTGTTGCATGCTAGCCTTGAGAGAGACAGTATCTTCTGAACCAGCAGCTTGCCTTCCCCAATCTGCTGCTGTAGAGCACTGTAGTCATCAATATGGCCGATAACATGTCGGCCACGCTTGTTGGCAAAGGAGCCATCAGTGGCATCACCCTCCAGCTTGGGAGGGTTCTTCATCACTGCAGAATCATTTGAACCCAGCTCTGGCAAAGAAACAAAATAGGATCCATTGTTATACATCATAACAACTTCAGTTCACTCTACTCCATAGGGACAAGGAAAGAGGCAAGAAGCAAGTCAGCCTTCAAATACACAGGATGGTAGAGTCCACAGAGCAATCTGTGTTCTATGTGTTTTCAATTAGTCTCATGTCAGCAGACAATTGCCTGGGAGGTGGATCTCTGGGCATGCCTGTGGTAAGTCATTTTGATTGCATTAAATGAATTGTGGGCGGAACTATTCCCTAGACAGGGTATCCTGAGCTGGATGAAATGGGGAAGGTGTGCCCAGCATTCACATACACGTGTTTGCTGCTCTCTGGTCCTGTGCCAGAAGCTATGTGTGTGACCAGCTCCCTTAAGTCCCTGCGACTTCCTTGCCACGATGAAGTGTAGCCTGTAACTGTGAGCCAGAGCACACCTTTCTCACTTACATTGCTTTTCTCTGGGAACTTTGTCACACACACACACACACACACACACACACACACAATACTATGGCACTTTTCAGCTGGTGAAATATGCAGGATAAACACTATTACTGAGTAAGTTTCTGGGTAAAGGATGACCCAGAAGTTAAACAGCTGAATACAGAGGAGCCCCACTCAAGAACAAAGCAATGACAGAGCAAGAAAGAAAAACCAGAGTGGCAGGGGAATTATAGGAAGAACAAGAAAGGTAGAGGACTGTACATAGACAAGAGATGGAGAAAGATCTCTAGACACAAGTACTGCACATACAGAGCGCCAACCAAGGGTTGTTTGTATCTGATTTTCCATCACCTTCTGAGTCTTTTCGTTGCTATATTTACCATTTGTCCTGGTGGTGATGGCAGGGTCTGAGCCAGGAACAGAGCAAGAAGAGCTGGGGAAGACCATGGCTGGAGAATTCAAGCCAACATCCCTGACTGGAGGGGAAGTGGCTGAACCTAGGGAGCAGAGCAACCGCCATGTCAGGTCTGCCGACATGCTGCAGGCTGAGCCGCCACAGGGCACATGCATAGCTTGAGACAGACCTCAGTGACCAGCACCCATAGGCCACAACAC